AGAAGTGAGTTCGTTTAGCTCTCATGGTTTGGACATAGCGCCAGAACAAAGTAGTCAGTGCTCGTGATTCTCTCATACAAAGATGAGCCATGCACCCAGATCCTATTCATAATTGCGGAATCGTTCGAATTTGACTTCGACCATCACTCATACGTTAATAACTATTTCCTAGACAGTATTTTCGTCCTTTCCAATAAGTTACCAATCAACTAGAGAGTAGGTGATCTTTAGGGCTTGGCGGCTTGTGAGTCTACTATACATGTTCCAAAAACCTCTCATGTGGCCTATTTTAACACATTGCGTACCGCGTGCGCCACCATGTGGCGCACGATTTCGCACGAAACAGCATAGTTTATCTGATTTATTTGACATTTTTCAATGCTCCTGAATGTTTGCCATTTTCAGAGCCGGGAAATCACTGATAAAATTGTTGATAGATTAATGATGATTCACTTTTGAAAACAAAAAAGATACGAAGATATTCATACAACGGGCGGTCCGCAATGTGTTAATGAACCATGTATAACACATTGTGCTCCAATCAGCTGAACCCACCGCGCTAGTGGGGTGTTGTGGAGTTTTATCTCGGAAATCTTTCCTTCATTGAAGTTGACTTAACTGGTTGGGAATTACGACTGTGATTATGGCATACAATCTCTAGCGATTGATCAATAAATAACTAAATGAGCGAATAAATGAGTAGCTTTGAGAACAAGAGAACCGCGGTTCATTAAGAAGGACGTGATAAACCGATCGTGTTGGCGGTAACAATGCTTGTTCTCGCCCTTAGCTAAGTTCCTCCAGAATTGAAAGATCATGGTGATATTTGACGTTTCTGCGGTTATCGTAAGTTTTCCTCAGAAAGCTGGAATTGCACATTATTTCTAACCGGGTTATACTGCAAACAGGTGTAGTGTGAAGGAGATTCCTTTTTTCATCATTTTTTACTCGCCATAGTAGGTTAGATAAGTATTGATTAAGGAGACCTTTCTGCTATTCTTCTCACTTTCTATTCTTTTATACCCATCTCTCAATGCTTTGTAGGCCCCTTTCCTTATTCTGTACAGATCACCATTTGTGGGGAATTGCTTCCACATCGCAATTTCCCAGCTCGTAAAAGCTCTTCTCATCGCGAAATCCTTTTGATAAATGAGGAAAACATTCGATTTCAATCTATTGTCACTCTATTGTCTGAAATAAATACACATTCGAATCCACTTGTTTATTCTTGACGAAACTCGGAAGCATGGCGTGTTCTTGTGAGATCAGCAGAAGCGCATTTCCTTTATTTCCGTAATATGGAACAACCAGCATCATCTGACCACCTAGAATTTTTCATTATGTTTATGCTTTTCCACGGAAACAACACCACTTAGACATTTCCTGTTTACAAAATAGCTTTGGTTGTCGTCCTCTCTAGGAAGTAAAGCATCACTATAAGCAGTAGGGGCTATCACAACTTATTATTGAAACTCATTGTACAATCGCATACCCTACAATTGTGAGTGAGCTTTGTGTGCATGGCGCATTCCGGTTGGGCTCGGATCCATTCTTTCTATCGAATTGAAATATTAAGTGAGATACGAGAGTTGGAAAATATTCGACCCAAAGTTGGAACAATCACTTCCTCAGGAAAACTAGCGATTATTAAACTAAAACTGTTAGCCTCGGTAAAATTATTAACGAAAAGTTTTGCACATAACTTAGTATTCCTATAAATCTTTCGCAAGGCGATTTTGGTCAAAAACAGCGGTGTCAACATTCAAAAACAAGTCAAAATCAAATGTTATTGAGTCTCAGGTTCATTTCTATTTGACGAGGAATCCTCCATAGAGACCAGTTTGAGAGTTTCTTCCTCGTTTTTCCTTGGAGCCATTTGTTACGCTTTCTTCTAGGTTCATCTCTAATCAACTGGGAAGCATGTATCAGCAGTACAAGGACCACCTGGAGCTGGAACTGGTGCCGTGGGGTAACTCACGTATTCTTCGAGTGAGTGATCGACTAATTCGTACTCGTTTTTCACTTTTGCACTCAACAAGTGTAGCGCGATCCTTCCGGTTCCAAAGAAACGATTAATATCCACTGGACAGCTGACCTATGGCGATCGCTCTGAGACTTTGTCGTAGCCGACAAAAAAACTGCCCTCTCAACTGCTTCGACGCCCGTGCCACTTCAAAACTAGACTACTCTTAACACTGAACGAATGACTGAGGTCATAATAACAGCCGTCGACAACTGCTTCAGCTGACCAGTGACCATCTGAACCCTCAGGTTCAAACCGTTGAAATCGGACAGCAAAAACATTCATAAACCCACTTCTCCGCTACGAATATAATTATGCCCTCAGGCAACAGATTTCAAAGCAATATGAGCCTTCGGGAAACTTCTATATTGAAACATTCCAATGCTGCTAAAATAGGGAAGTAATGCCGTACCCTGCGGCTGCGCTTGAAGCTGCTCTCCTTAAGTGCTGCACTCATTCTCAAAGGTGGAGCTTACGAGGGAAAATCATAAAGGATAAAGGATAAAGCATTTGCCGTTGATCAATCCCTTTTTGGGATGCGGCACGCATTCTACTTCCATTTGTACATTCGTAGTGGCGTTTGAATGCGATGTGGCCTATACAATGACTTGCGGGGCCAGCCGATGTACAAGTCAGTGTTTTTTATCCTCCCAGACAAGTCTGGTACCAATTAACCGACCCCGGAGGGATGGAAGGCTTGGTTGGCCCGGGCGACTCACGACCCAGGATTTGATCCCCGGACCGCTCGCGTGGTGAGCGTGCCACTTGCCACTACACCACTTCCGCCCTCATTAAACATCAAAAATCAAGCTGGAGGTAGTCACTGGTGGAGGGTGGGGGAAAACTATGAAAAATGACCCAGAACCTGAGAAAAGGGATTGCCTTTGATTTGGCCTGGCCTCATTTTTGCAGCGTGTACATGGCCCTGCTAGGACGCTGGGGCATACTTCGCTACGAAACGCGTGAACTCCCGCACCCTTGGGGGACCGCCTGCCTTTTGACTGGGTATATTTCCCATCCGTCCAGCCTTATTGAAGAGTCCTCTTTTGAGATCGAGGGTCAATCAAATTCCGTTTTTCATTCAAGCCTCCCATTCTCGCGGGTCAGTCCAATTGCATCAGACTTGTGACAGCAAAAACACATGCATACCGGTCATCAGCTGCAAGCTGCTGTATGTTGGAAACAGACCAGAATCGAGCACCCTACTTTGTTATCCTTTTGATTAAAGGGATTTCCCAAGAGAAAGGGTAACTTGTGGGGAATTACATTTCTTATATACTGCTCTCAGGGAGACTGGCAAATCTCCAAGGAGTGAAAGATTGTTTGTGACTATCTTTCCGATTACCTTTGCGATATAAGCAATCACAGCACTTCGTTTGTTACAACGTCAGACAAATGCGTCAAGCACAAAGCTTTATTGCAACGGCAACCGATCAGCTCGCTGGCGATCTTTGATAGAAAAAAAAACAGCGGAAAAAATTGAACCTGGAGCAGTTCAAATCTTCTTCGGAGCGTTTGTTTTTATTTATGGCGAAGTTTATAGCATGATTTATCGGAGTGCTTCTCAGAGTTCAAGGTGTGAATATTACACATTTTGTTGAATCTGCTGCTCAGCGCCTTTCACTTGCTCAGATGGTATGGCCCAGGTGGTGTTCCACATTTTCTGAGTTTTCAGACCTATCGGTCTTCCTTTAGACGCCAGGCAGTTTTAACAAGCGGATTCAGTTGCAGTTCATCCCACTTGCAGCCCACCCACGACTCAAATTTGCCTTTGATCTTGGAAAAATTCGCTATTAGGAAATCTGAGTGGCGCATTGCCACTGCTCTGGACTTCGTCAACAATCCTACCCGTTAGGTCAGAAATCGTGCATGGTGCCTGTTTCGGGAGATTGAGAGATCCGAGAATGATATGTATCTAATGAAAAACGGGAACGCAGGGATTGAGGAGATCAGGAGATCCAGTCAATAATACTAGATAAGAATTGATGAACTCATTGTTTTTAAAGGGAACCCTACTCTCTTGAAACGTGAACGATGAATGCGGCCTACTGTTTCTACTACCTGTATTAGTAGAATAGAAGAATAGCAAGATTTGGCGAGTTAGAAGAGAAGTTGGGAGAAGAGGAGGTGAGGAGTGCAGAAGAATCCACGAAAAAAAAATCTATGTATGGGAATAATTGATTAAGGGGAGAGTCAATCTGCTTTCCTTGCATAGTTCCATGTCTCATCATCTCCTTTTCTCCCATTCTCCCAGCACGCTGAACAAGATCTGCGGACTTTCCCCTTGCAATTTTTACCATCGCCAAAAGAAACTGTCACTTTTTTCCAACAAAATTTGCTCTTCGAACGGGTTCTACTATACTCATTGGTTGATATTGTCATTCATCAAAATTGGAATCGGAAATGCAAGTTGCGATCTTACATTTGTTTGCTTGCTTGTACACAGAGCTCTTTATAAAGTGCGCTAGCTGGGGTAAGGCTCCACCATATGGAACTCACCAAGTGTTTTTGCAAGAAATAATTCCAACAACGTAGATGGAGCCCCTTTCTCAGGTACTGTGGCTAGCTATTTTTAAGATCAAAGAATAAAAAGAAACTCTCTGGAATTTCTCCGTCTTATGCATGCCGCCCTTACAGTGGAACAGTGGCTACCAATTCAATCCCGACAATCGTATGCAAATTACAAACTGTGTGATTATTCGCTGTTCCCGTGAATGATTGTGGAATCTGTCGATGTTTCAGCTAGACGCTTAACCAGGTCCAGCCACACGATGCCTATATGGGGAGAACTTAGGGCCACCATCCTTTGTACGATGAAGAATTATCATTAACCCTTTCTAGTCCTGTCTTCAAGGTCTCGACATATCCCCTCTCCTCCGCCCTCCCCTGACAACTAGACTCAAAGGTTTGGTGTATGTTTCATGTGCCGTACGAGGTTGATAGGTGGAACGTTTATCAGATCGGCCTAACGTTTCGACAAAATCGTCGTCCTCAGAAGCCTAAATGGTAACATGACATATTCTACTCCACCAAGCGCCTCTATCCCCTCTAGCGGTTCCGACGTCCCGCCAGAAGCTCCACACAGAAACATAACCAAGTGTGATATTGCGCTCACCCAGGGCTACACCGTTTGCGCAGATGAGGGGAGTTGGAGAATAGACTTGAAGAATTCTCCCTATACAACCTCAAATCCTCACTCCCCTACGCTATGATTTCGTCCATTCCACGTCTTTTCCTGAAAACTTGTGAGCAAAATCCTCGAAACGACCTACTTTCTCCTCTACCTACATGCAACACGGTCTCACAACTTGCTCAACCCCCCCCCTAAAAGTCCTAATACTCATGTACGACCCCCGTTTCCGCAATTATAATTCAGAAAAACCTGAACTACGGCCTTTTCGGAGAGGGAAGGGGTCATACTTGGAGATATGACCATTAGGTCATTGAGTATGACTAACAGTTTCTTCGGAAAATCCGAGTGGGGAGCTGTGTTTGTGGAAACTGGAGGGGTCGTGGATGTAGGAGAGGGTGTCGTTATCTTGGAATTGAGGTGTTTGTCTTCATTATTGTCACGAAAAGTGGATGAATTAGTATCGAGTGTGAGTTCAGACGATTGAAATTACACAACCTTCTTCACTTTCCCCGAGCGTCCCCACATTTTGCGCCCGGGGATCCTTTTGCGGGGTGGCAGTGGTGGTGGCTTTGGTTGTGTTGATCTTTGACCCTCACTATGGAAGGAATTTATCAAGTCCGCAGAGCGCAACGTTTGCCTCTACCCTCATGATTCTGGACACGATTCCCTCGTTCAACTCTTCCGCACGGGCGGTTGACCCTACTCTTCCTTTCCCTTCTGAATACAGGGGGGGGGGCAAAAAAAAGAGTCACTTCTCTCCACATTCAAAACGCAATTAATCTCGAACTGCGAAACCAAATCAAATGAGCCCAATTGCATATTAAAGAGCACATTCAAGTCTATCAAAGGTTACATGACAGCCTTCTACACACTGACGACATCAGAAGATTTTCCCACGGAAACATGGTTCACGGTACGAGCTCAACGACGTCGTCGAGGTACCATAGACCATTACGACGTCCCTGAAAACCGGTCAAAAGCGGTCTTGCACAGTCACAGCTAGTGTCTCTGGGAAGCTATTCACCGCTTAACCGATTGAAGAAATTAGGTTGCAGCTTCAGGCCGGAGCGATTACGGTAAGCCCCGTTGAGCTTGACGGCGACGGCAGATGACGTCATATTCTGAAGACCGTGAGGGCATTGAAGTAGGGGCTGCTTCTGCTTATGGGGGACACCTAAGGAATATTCTGCCGTAAAACATTCATTAGCTGCGGCATTCTGTGCGAAGAAAAATTTGATGATGTGCGCCATAGGCAAAGTGACTCTTTTTTTGGCCCCCCTGTATAGCACCTGAATCTTTCGTGTGGGGTGCCGATAATAAGTTGTAATTTTTTGCAGGACGGTTCGTTCTCGTGTAATCACGGGAGGAAAGAATGTGATGCGAATCGTCTGCAATCATGTGTGATAGATATCTTGAAGGTGAGCCGGCATGTTCTTGCCATTCCCCAGTTTCCAGTCATAGCCACCAATTTCAGTCATCTGGAGCCCTACCTTTCATCGTGTGCTTCGAGCGGATCATCCATCACAACACTGTCGATCAAGCTATGCACGCCTGTTCAGCGTTTATTCGAAGTCAATATCGACAAATTAGGTACTAATCCCGAAATCAATTAAATAATCCATATTCTGCTATGAATTCCTGTTTTTCATAATAGAAATTCTCGCACTTCAAAGGCAGCGATCTCGATGGCGGTGGGGGGGTTGATGACGTCAGTGAATTTCTCACTGGACAGGAAGGACTGAGGCCAATAAAAGCAGAGTCAACGCACGCCTTCTCCTCACGCCACCGACCCCTAAGCGTGCGCTGAGGGTTAAGTTAAACGCGATGACGTCACCAACCGCATACCGCTCTCTCGCCCATCGTGATCACTGCCTCCAAATACGACTTTAGCATTTATATTACGCTATTAGGTCGGTCCATAAGTCTTGCAACAAACTACATTTAATGCTATAGAATTTTAGGGAGAACTCCTGAAAATCCGCAACATATTTCCTGACGTAGCATCAACCTTTGCAATTTCAGCCAACGGTCCAGCTCGTTGTCTGCTTACTTATTATGGATATTACACCGATTTCGCGAGAGGGCTCTCGGTGCCCTTAATTTTTACGAGTACTGCTTGGAATGTTCCGCAAGTCATGCTAGACCAAGGATTGGCCAGAAGATAGGCGAGGGCAGCGCTCTCTCAAACCACAGTGCAACGGCGCTTCACTCTGCTCAGCGTTGACTTTTTTTTATTTGAAAATAACCCACACTCCAACCACCCTGTGACTGACAATCACGATGCTCTATCTGACGCCGTTGAAAAGGGATCTGGATAGAGTATCGATCATTTGCTAGAGCGATTCCGATGCGACAAGGAGACAGCACTGTGGCATCTCCAAAGACTTGTGAAGATCCGAAAATGTAGAGTTTGGTCCCCACGTGCCTTGAGCCCGATTCAGCTCCAAACACGATCTGACACCGTTATGTTCAAGTCGACTTACTAGGGATTCTACGATTGACCATCCATCACATTTGCCGAAGATGAGGAGTGGATACAGTTTGCTAACAAATGAACACAAGCGGTAGTCCAGCTCAAACGCTTCGGGAGATCTTACTGCTGAAGTTCAACCTCGTCCAAGTAGGGCCTTCTCGGATTTTTGGTGGAACACGAGAGGAGTTAAGCTCTGGAAACCCCTACGTGTAGATGTCGCAGTCAACGCGAAAGTCAACTATCCACAGCTCGAATGCAACGCTTTCAATACGAAAGAAAAACAAGGCAAAGTTTGCTTTTGTATGACACCGTTGAAAACCTCTTGCTAAGAAAATTCAGGAAAATTTCGAGACTCTGGACGGAGAGTTCTTCCGTATTCACGTTATAGCCCTGACCTCGAGGCAAATAATGCCCTTCTGCTCCCCTCTCCAAACCATCTCCTAGAGAAGAAAGCTCATCCTAACTATGATGATGTCAAAATCGACATCTGATCTTTCTTCGATCAGAATTCAGTAGAGTCCTACAAGGGAGGCATCGAGCAGCTACTAGTGTGTTGGCAATAGGTTGTAGATATTGATGGAGGGTAGCATGCCGGATGAATGGAACAAAAAGATAATGAAAATATTAAATTCAAAATTCGGCCAGTTTGTTGCAAGACTTATGGACCGACCTAATATTTTTTCGTATAATTTGAAAATTTTCAGGTAAATGTTTATGATGGTGAACGGGGTGTCCAACTGCAACGTGCTGCTGCACATAAGACAATGAGCACCAAGCCGCATCCAATCTTAGAGGTAAGTTGATAATAGGTAATCGCTTCCCTAGATAAAATAGATTCCTGAAAGAAAATATACCTAGTACCCGACAGGAGGCCCGTTGCGCGGCGGGAAGGCAGAGACGTAAACGGGTTAGCGGACAAGTCGCAGCGCGTACTGTAGTGGTTTCGCGTCACGTTAAATGGGATGTACTATAGTACCCCCACATCCCACAGCACGTGCTGTGACTCCTCCGTCTGCGACTCGTCTACACCTCTGTCGACGGGTCTTCTATCGGGTACCCACATAAGCCGCTCCCATGCGGCCATATTAGTGGGTTTATGTGTCTCGCTTTTCGCTTTGCTCTCTCCTGTTCTCTGCCTTCAGCGCCCAGTGTCTTTTCTTCCCACATTTGTTATCTTACAGAAGTAGTGGTCTTCATCTTTGATGCCTTCCGCTGTTACTTTTCTTTTTTCTTCGCTCCTCCAATTCGCACATTTGGTTTCATTTTCAAGTGCAA